AAAGGCAAGAGTGGGGGAATGGAACTTTGCTGGCTGTTGCAAAGCAGCCTTCCTCTGATTGCCTTCCCCCAACGCCCCCCAACCCTTTCAAAAGCCACCCCCATCGCCAGCCTCTCCCAACCAGATCCCCGCCTGCCTCCCCTTGGCTCACCTGGACCAGGCTGCTGACAGCGGCTTGCATGACATGGCTGCAGGGAGAGTGGCGCCTGAGAGAAGTGGGCAAAAAAAAAAAAAAAACTTCCGACGGCTGAGCTGCTTGGCCCGGGACCGAGCCTCCTCCTTGCTGCGCTGCCACCGCCGGAAAGCTGTTGCTCTCCCTGCAGAAAAATGGTGCGTGTTGGCACGCGCATGCGCAGGAGTGGAGGGAGGGAAACCACTGCCCTCTAAAGGACACATCGGGAACGACACTTCAGAGAAATAAAAACTTTTTTTAACGGCATCTTTTTTAAAATTGATTTTCTTTCTTTTGGAAAATCAGGACTTTTTGAACACGCTGTGGGACACGGGACAAATTATTAAAAATCGTGACTGTCCTGCCAAAAGCGGGACATCTGGTCACCTTACCTATAACACAACTAAGTTTTTGAACTACTCTGAACATCAAAGCAGAGCTTATAAAGCAGAGGACTTTGAACCAAGAATAGGACCAGTGAATTAAGAAATATTCTATTTCTCTCGTGGCCTTTGTGCCAACACAGCCTTATTCACAGATTATTCAGAAATGTATAGGGCTTCCAAGTGTGAGCTCTGGACATAGTGATTTGGGGGACATGGTTATATGATACAAATTAATGGAACTGAGTTTTAGCTCTGGGTTCATTTGTCTGGAAGGTATTACTATTTTGATATGGACCAATAGGCAGGCATCTTGTGACCTTCCTATCTTTGAATAACATATCATTTACTAATGGCTGATAGAAATTCAAAGAGATTGCTCAAAATGCATATTATTTCTGAGAATGAATGTCAAAATAATCCCTGCTCTAAGGTGCCCAATGTCCCTGTGATCAATAGCTTCAGAAAAGATTATTACAAATAATAGATTGATGTTTTAATGAAGAAAATACTGTATGTAATCTTTTAGGTATTACTCATTTTTATTTTATTTTATTCCATCCAATGTCTTTTGTTACTATAAGTTATACATTTATCACTTGTCCAGCAGAACTCATGCCTCGAAATAAAGCAATATACAGTTTTGTCTCCTTTAGAGAATATGGGGTGCTTCCCTCCTCCCTTTCCTTATTTAGTTTGAAATTCCAAGCCTTAACACAAGTGCTGTTGTGGATTTGTACTTGTGGGGGTTGTGTGGGATATTATCTACGCATTCACCAAGTACTGATCCAATGAACTGGCATTTCCTCACAAAGCAGATGAAGAGTCTATACAGTTCTTTTTGTAATAAATCATGGCCGTGAAAAAGGATTTCTTTAAGTCCTTTAGTCCATTCTTCTCCATCTCACTCACCTTCAGGGAATAGGTCTATAAGAAACTCCTAAGGCATATAGTAGGTAGAAGAAATAAAAGGCAGCGGAATCAAAAGAAGAAAAGTCAGAGGTTCCAGTGATTTTCTGTTGATTGAATACTCTTGAAAGCAAGGCAGGATAGTAAGAAAAATAAGCAAACTAAAAATAAATCACATCTTCAGGCATGTTATTAGATCAACAATAGCAGGCAGCTGAGGGCCCTTTCAAGAGAAAATGATACCTAGAGAGCAGAGTATAAGAATTGCTTCTTACAGGGCATTTTATACATAAGTGCAGAGTATACATGCACCTTGTCACTGTACAAGATTGTTTCAGATGTAACTTTCATAGTCATAAGTTCAACTCTTCTTCAATGTTCATTTATAACAATCTTAAAGGAATCTTACATCTGAAACAACAATATCACTTTCATAGTCACCCTTGTACAATCAAGTTGTGCCTATGCATGGTTGAAATAGACTTAAGAAGCTTAAGGGCTGCCTGGATACAAATCTATAGTTTAATGTGGGCTGATCATATCTTCTCTTAGTCTTAAGCATTAATAGACTCCCTCCTAAAATTCCAGTCACCAATTGGTTTTAGATGAGTAGACTTGACTTTCTAATAAGAGTCCATAATACTCTTTGCCAATGTCATATTTGGGCTGCAAAAATGTGTATGACCACCAGATAGCAATAAAGAGACAAAGATTCTATACCTATTGCCATCAAGTGGTCAGCTGAATTTTTGCAATTTATTCTCTGCACTTAGGAGTGACTTGTGTGACTTGAGAACACTGTGCAATGCTGGAGGAACAAAGCTTCCATGTTGATATGGGTGTTGACTTCCAGTTTCTACTCATAATTATGGATTATTACCCCAGTGTTATAGATTGGCCACTGATATTTAAATGTTTTCTACATGTATTCACAATCATCATCATCATCATCCTTTATTACAGTCATAGACCATCAATCAAAGGTAAATATATATTATTTCATTGTGGCTTCCTGTTTAGTAAACAGTTTTCATACTGCATCTTAAGGTTAAGCAATTTAATGAGGTATAAGTTATTTTTCAAACTGTTTAATTTTTCTTTTAATATAGCTCTCTGTATTAACCATTTTCTGCTTCTAGCTGGGCAATATGTTAGTTTATTCTCTCTTATTCCTGTATCAGTTTGTGGGATTCACTCCACTTTTTTTCATTTATATTTTATATAATATAATAGGATGACAATCAGAGAGATCTATACATCATGCAAAGTCAAGATTAAACAAACAATGTTAATGGAGTTTTTCAACCTGTAATATGTAAAGCATAATTTATAGTTAATGATTCCTGTTATTACGGCTGAATTGACCAAGAGTGGTGAGCATAGGATGTAACATAGTCGGCTTTGAACTATATCATGTACAATATATTGGAACCTGATTGTCTGGTCTTTGTTTTCATAGGTGTTCCTTGATGGGCTTTGATTTAAATCGTCACTGGGTAGATCCCTCTCCTTGGGCTCATCCTACACTTTATGGTGTAAAGCAACTAATTATTCAGATGCACAATAATCCGGTGAGTCAACAGTGAAATGTATAATAACTTCCCTTTTATCCACCAATTGACAAATGTTGATTTAAGGTTGCTCTCAGAGTTTGTGACAAGGATTCTGGATTTTTCATTGAACATGTTTCTACAGAAGCCTGCTTTTGCAAAAGCTGCTCTTTTGTATTTCCCGAGTCTTTCCATTATCATTTTCATCCCACTTTTTCCCACAAGGAAACTCAGGCTCCTTGGAGTCAAGCTTGCCTTTTTGTGATTTCATGGACCCATCCATTAATTTTCTTGGCAATAATATGCAAGTGATTTGCTGTTACCTTTTTCCATTTTTCCATTTTCCATTTGCCTGTACCCTCCCATTTGGTACTAACCTGGTTCAAGATTATTCAAGATAGGCTAAGTGTTGCCCCTGTTCCAGGCCAAAACAATATAAAAACTAGGGAGTTCAACAGTTGACAATCAAGCTTAGTTAAAAGGCAGACCAAAGGCAGCCTGGTGTTGGGACAATTGTTATCTTACAAATACCCAAGAGGACAAGCAAGCCTTCCATTGATGTTAAAAACAAGGCAGCAGGAGAGAGCAGTTATCCTCTTGGGATGCCCAAGCTTTTCAGGAGGAGAGCTACCATATTTTTTGGAGTATAAGACGCTGTGAAGTATAAGACGCACCTAGATTTTGGGGAGGAAAACAAGGAAAAAATATCTGCCTCTGCCTCCCAGCAATTTGCCTCCTTGCAACAAACAGTACAAACATTATACACTGTTTGTAGTGTTATATTTCAGACTATACTTGTACAGACACTGTTAAAATGTGCTTTCTGGAATTATAGTTATTCT